ATTTGGGGTCGAACAACCATTTCACGGGGGTCGCCAAACAACGCCGTCCGCCATTTTTTCCCTCTTTTCCTTAGCTGTGCTACTCCCTTTTATTCTATTGGCTTTTGAAAGCCAATAGAATAGACTCTCTTGAATAGAGTCTAATTCTGTTGGCTTTCAAAAGCCAATAGGGATTGTCCAGGCTGTCTCTGCCCTGCTGAGCCCGCCAAAAGTTCCATTCTGCAAATGGTGCTGCACCAGTTGAGTAGTCCTCGACTTACGACCAGTTGAATAGTCCTCGACTTATGACCGGTTGGGGGGTCGCAGCATTAAAAAGGTTGAGAACCACTGCTCTAGACCAAGGCTTTTCAGCCTTGGCCTCTTTAAGAAATGTGGATGTCAAGACCCAGAATTGTCACAGGCTTGTAGATGAGGATAAGGTTGGGTTCTCAAAGACGATAGAGGTTGTGGGGATCAGAATTAGTTTTTGATGTGAAACAGGGATGATTAGGGGACTGGAGGCTAAAGCATATAAGAAAAGGCTGCTAGAATTGGGCATGTCTAGTTTAATGAAGAGAAGGACGAGGGGGGACATGACAGCAGTGTTCCAATATCTCAGGGGCTGCCACAATGAAGAGGGAGTCAAGCTATTTTCCAAAGCGCCTGAAGGCAGGACAAGAAGCAACGGATGGAAACTAATCAAGGAGAGAAGCAACCTAGAACTAAGGAGAAACTTCCTGACAGTCAGAACAATTAACCAGTGGAACAACCTGCCTCCAGAAGCTGAGAATGCTCCAACACTGGAAATTCTTAAGAAGAGACTGGACAGCCATTTGTCCGAAATGGTATAGGGTTTCCTGCCTGAGCAGGGGGTTGGACTAGATGACCTCCAAGGTCCCTTCCAACTTTATTATTATTATTACTACTACTACTACTACTACTACTACTACTATTTTCATAATTTCCCATTGAATGGAACATTTTGCTTCTTAAATACAGGTGTTCCTCAACTTACAACAGTTCATTTAGTGACCGTTCAAAGTTACAACGGCACTGAAAAAAGTGACTTGCACTCATTTTTCATACTTATGACCATTGCAGCCTCCCCGTGATCACATGATCAAAATTCAAAGGCTTGGCAACTGGCATGTACTTATGATGGTTGCAAGTGTCCCAGGGGTCACGTGATCCCCTTTTGCGACCTTCCGCCAAGCAAAGTCAACGGGGGAAGGCAGATTCACTTAACAACCGTGTTACCAACCTCACAACTGCAATGATTCACTTAACAATTGTGGCAAGGAAGGTCGTAAAATGGGGCAAAATTCACTTAACAAATTTCTCGCTTAGCAACATAAATGTTGGGCTAAATTGTGGTCGTAAATCAAGGGTTACCTATATGTAGAGAGTGAGCAAGATGATTTTGACTGACGTTTGCAGGTGCTGTTGCCTAGCAAAGGGGCTAAATCATTATTTAAGTCCAGAATGTCCAGACAACATTCATCAATGGTTAGACCAGGGGTAGGCAACCTTGGCTCTTGTAGACTTCAACTCCCAGAATTCAGCATGGCTGGTTCAGGAATTCTGGGTACTGAAGTCCACAAGTCATAAAAGAGTCAAGGTTCCCCACCCCTAAGTTAGACAGACATCTCCCTAATCTGCTAGTATGTAAGGAGGAGGAAGAACTACAGCACATTTAGATTTGCAAGTGTCTGTTAATTATAGCCAATCCCAATAAAAGTAGTTCCAGCCTTTCCCATGGAGTTGATTTCCTGGTTTGGAGTTCCTTACCTAGTAAGTTGTAACATCTCCTCTTTAAATAAACAAATAACCAAGAATTGTCCATTTCACTGAATGGAAATTATTATCTGCTTGTTCTTTAACAGCTAAATTTGAAGAAATTAGAAGCCTTTTTACTCTGATCTAGAAGGGTTCACACCTAAAAAAAAAAAAAAAACATCACCAGCCTATTCGTGTTACTTTCCATGAACCCATACTGGCCTTGACCATAATATTCTGAAGATCCAAATGGTGGATCAGAGACATTTTGCACTGGATTAGAATAGTACTATTCTTTACATCAGTGTTTCTCCACCTTGACAATTTTAAGGCATGTGGACTTCAACTCCCAGAATTCAACAGCCAGCATTGTTGGCTGTGGAATTCTGGGAGTTGAAGTCCACATGCCTTAAAATTGTCAAGATGGAGAAACACTGCTTTACATTATTGCAAGAAGGGAAAAGTTATCTTTAATACTTGCTATTAACGTAGCATCTCAGAGTTAAAAACTTTTTTTAAAAAAATTCATATTGGAAAACCAACCTATCAAAATAAACGAGTTTGCACAGAATGGGCAGGGAATTTAGTTATATGAATGAGAAGAAATTTGCCAACAAGAGTCAAAGCACATGTACCAGAAGGAATAAACCAGCAAATTCTGGTTCAAACTTGTGTGCATCTGTGAAATTATGCTTTTTAAAAAGCAAATTTTGGGTTTTTTTTTTCTTTTTGAGAAGTCCGCAGAGCTTTTTAAAACAACAATCACTCACTCGTATATAAATGACAAAGACTTTGCCTGGCTTCCTTCTTACTCATGCAATTCTAAATTCTAGCTTACCATTACATGTAAATTGCAGCCATGGTGTGAGCAAAACCATACAGTGAATTTCAAATATTACTATTTCCCCTTGGTGACAACTGCTCTCTTCATGATTGGGTTGCATTCCTAATCTCACTCCATAATGCAGAATGAGGAAAAAACACCATGCTCTATCCCAGGGGTAGGCAACCTTGGCTCTTTTATGACTCGTGGACTTCAACTCCCAGAATTCCTGAGCCACCATAGCTGGGCTAGCTAGCTCTCTCCTGCCCTTCCTGTTTCCTGCTTCCTGCAGAGACGCAGCAAAGGGAGGAGCCCCACCCAATAAGCTTTTCAGCTCGTCAGAAATTCTGGGAGTTGAAGTCCACGAGTCATAAAAGAGCCAAGGTTGCCTACCCCTGCTCTATCCCAAATGTGTACAGGAAGTCCTCAACTTACAAGAAAGAGTTCATTTAGTGACCGTTCAAAGTTACAAGGGCACTGAAAAAAGCGAGATGACCATTTTTTCACACTTACAACCATTGTAGCATCCCCCAGGGTCATGTGATCAACATTGGGGCGCTTGGCAACTGGTTCATATTTATGACGATTGCAGCGTCCCAGGGGGGTCACGTGATCACCTTTCACAACCTTCTGAGAAGCAAAGTCAATGGGGAGGCCAGATTCACTTAACAACTGTGTCACTAATTTAACAATTGCAATGATTCACTTAACATGTGGCAAGAAAAATCATAAAATGGGGGCAAAATTCTTGAACAAACTCCCTTGCTTAGTAGTGGAAATTTTGGGCTCAATTGTGACTGTAAGTAATCTATTTGTTTTATGAGTCCAAAGCTAAAATAAATAATAAAATAATATAAAATAATACAATACAATATATTACAATGTAATATAATGTAATGTAATGTAATGTAATAAAATACCATGTGACATATGCATATGTATTTTTCTTGTGATACCTGGTGGCAGATTAGCACCTACTTATCATGGCTCCTGCGAGTCCCCTGGCGATCCAACCGGTCAGTCCTAGAGGAGATCAACCCTGACTGCTCTTTAGAAGGCCAGATCCTGAAGTTGAAACTCAAGTAACTTTGGCCACCTAATGAGAAGGAAGGACTCACTGGAGAAGAGCCTAATGCTGGGAAAGATTGAGGGCAATAGAAGAAGGAGACGACAGAGAATGAGGGGGCTGGATGGAGTCACTGAAGCAGGAGGTGTGAGCTTCAATGGACTCCAGAAAATGGTACAGGACAGGAAGGCCTGGAGGAACGTTGTCCATGGGGTCGCGATGGGTCGGACACGACTTTGCAAGCAACAACAATAATCATGGCTAAAATTATTATCAAGAGTATGAGGTATTAACATTAAATCCAACAAGCCCCTATTGTTGGAAACATGAAGTGTTTTTAACTTCAAGGAATCAATATTAGACTTATGTATTCTAGATCTATTAAGTACTTTCAAGAATGTCCCAAAGGTGCTTTTTCAAGCTCTGAGCTGAAGAAGCTTCTGGGATGAGAAGCGAAATGTCTTCAAAGAAAAACAAAGAAAGTCTAGTTGCCTCTTGAAAAAAGCACCTTTGGGACGACCATGACCTGGATGACTGAGAATCTCCATGGGTAACTTTCAAGAATTAAAAACTCTGTTTCCATGAAATGGATAAAAATTGATTGGAATGTCTTCCGGGCTTCATACTCTGTCTTCAGAGCTCTTGACCTCTACTTCTAATGTCCTCATTCAAACAATTAATTTAGCCCAAGAACGGGAAGCATCCCAACTCAGCCACAGAGCAATTCTTTCATTTCGCATTTCATTTCAAAACGTTCCGTCTAGTCTATACCCCCACCGAGCCAGCCAATTTTAATTAAGGTGCCGTTCAGACTTACAGCCCACGATTCGCTAGCTAAGCAAAAGGACACACTTTTCAAACATGGCTTATGCATACAAAACAGGCCAAGTGTCACAAAAGGCTTGGCCTGAAACAGTCCAAACGTCACCACTGCTCAACAGGAATTTGGCCACCAGACTTTGTACTTAGTTCAGAAATAAAACACTCTAAAATAAGGGCATAGTTTCTAATGCCCAAGAGACTCCCGGGTACAGAAAAACGGGGTTTCTAAATTTGAAAGAAAACTGCAAGGAATTATTCAAGAATGACCCGGCAAGTTTGCTGGTCTGTGACTGTAATAATAAAAAATACGGACTGAACGATCTGGCAAGGGCCCAGGTGCTTCCAAATCCTAGACAGCATGCCAAGATGCCAGTTGGGAAAGGAAACAAAAAAAGGAAGCGGGGAAATTCGGGATAGGAATAAAATCTCAGTGGAGAGCAGAAGCTCAACAATTCCAGTGGGCCAATTGAGTAACGTAAGTGACAATAAATTACAACTCTCTTCCAAGTGAAGAGAACGACGACAAAGTCTTACCTAGTAAGTGTGTACTCCCTGAGTCCTGAATGCAGGTTCATGGCAGAAAAGGTACCTATACATCCACGCAACCTTTTATCTCGGCCAATCTTCCACGTTACGAAGAGCGGGCTGTGAAATGAGAGAGAGAAAAAAGAAGAATGACCAGGGTGCTACCCATCCTGGAGAACCAAGCTGTGCCTGTAAAATGGTGTTGCCTCCATGACCAAAACATCTCTTAAGTTGGCTGCATGCACCCTTTTCTAAACTCTTTAGAACGGAGGTCCCTAACCATTTGGGCGCCAGGGTCTGGTAACATGGAGAGGTTTTTTCACGGACTGGAGTGGGCGTGGTTTTGTGGGCTGCCTGCATCCCGTGGATGGGGCTTTGTTTGTGCGGACCGGTTGCTGGCATATCGCGGCACGGTACCGGTCCATAGACCGGGGGGGGGGGGGGTTGGGGATCCCTGCTTTAGAATATTTTTCTTGATGCTTTCTAAACTTGCTAGTCTTCCTGAAGACATTTCATCAGCAGACTAGGTAGCATCACTGGTGAAGGGAGGTGTGGAATTTACTGGCTGTTTATAGAGTTTATTTTACTAGCTTTATTGGAGTATTGTTTCTTTTTTGATTGCTTTTTGGGCAGGGTATTGTTTCTTCAGGGACTGTTCTTATCTGGAGGTGATTCCCGCTTCTCTGGGTTGGTTAATAGGTGTGTGCAGAGAATAGGTATTTTAAGACCTATTTTCCTGCTTTCCTTGATCTTTGGCTGCCTTCTTTATTGGATGGCATATTAGATGAAGCATATATTGCTGGCTCAGGAATTCTGGGAGTTGAAGTCCACAAGTCATAAAAGACCCAAGGCTCCCCACCCCTGGTCTAGTGGTTAAAGCACCAGGCTAAAAAGCAGGAAACCGGGACTTCTAGCGCCATCTTAGCCATGAAAACCAACTGGATGATCTTAGAGCAGTCACACTCAACCCAGCCCACCTCACAAGATTGTTGTTGTGGAAAAAACAGAAGGAGGAAGATGCATTGGGTATGTTTGCCATCTTGAGTTATTTGTGAAAACAATAATAGGCAGGATATAAATAAATAAGCAAGCAAGTATCCTGCAAACTCCACTCCCATCGGTAGGAAGAGAAGCAAGCTCGGAACACCATCAGCTGCATATATGTTTTACAAGGAGAATATGTTTCACCAGACCCGATTGTAAATGATGCTACTGTGTTTCCCTGAAAATAAGGCCGGGTCTTATATTAATTTTTGCTCCAAAAGACGCATTAGGGCTTATTTTCCCAGTTAGGGCTTATATTTGGGAAAATATGGTACTAAATGTATCCGCCTGGCTGACAATCTTAATTGGGGCTTATTTTTGGGGTGGGGCTTATTTTTGGGAAAACATGGTATTTCAGCCCTGCTGAATATTCAGCATTATTCATAGCAAATGAAGTGAGAATGTTTAGCCAAAACTTGCACAACCAGTTTTGGGCAAAAAGATTTATTTGACTCGTGTAAAAGGAACTGTTCTTGGGGCCGAAGACAAGACCAAAATTATATTTGATTCCAATTAATTTCAATCTAAGGACATTAATTACATCATATTTTTAAATAATGTTCTATTTCTGTCCTATTTACAGTTTGGCTTCAATTAAGAGAAGCTGAAAGTAAGCTTTTCAAGGGACAATGGTCACACATCTCTTGAGCTGGGATAAATATTAGCATTTTCCTTCTACCATTCACATACAGTTCACTTTCCTTTAAAAAAAAAAAAAGAATGTGGAACAGGGTGTCCCACATTTTATTGTTTGTAGTCATAATGAGCCGATGGCAGCCTAAAAATGCAGCAAGCTTCCCAGATCGGACCAAAGACTTAACTAAGAAGTTCGGCTCTCTGTTTCAAAGATGGCTAACCAGATATTGTGAACAAAGGACATAAAAAGAAGGAAACACTCTTTCTTGCGTCAAACCCCCACAATGTTAGGCATAGAAGATTAAAGTGTGCTATAACATTAGATTATTTGATAGTTCAAAATTACAGCAATGTAGTTGATCACAGATCAATTGGACGTCAAATGAGAGTGAATGGAACTTTAGTTTGATCTAGGGCAGGGGTCTTCAAACTTGGCCCTTTTATGACTTGTGGATTTCAATCCCCAGAATTCCTCAGCCAGTGTGCCTGGCTGAGGAATTCTGGGAGTTGAAGTCCACAAGTCATAAAAGGAGCAAGTTTGAATAGATAGATAGATAGATAGATAGATAGATAGATAGATAGATAGATAGATAGAGTAGATAGATAGATAGAGTAGATGGATGGATGGATGGATGGATGGATGGATAGAGAGATAGATAGATAGATAGATAGATAGATAGATAGATGATTTCAAAAAAGGGAACAACCGGTTCTCGACGTGGATGCCGCTTCCGGAAGTCTGTTCTGGTCCTGGGCAACAAAAAATTAGCTACCGGTTCTGCTGAAGTGGTGCAGACCGGCTAAATCCCACCAATGGACTGACCCTCTAGTTACAGACCAGTATAGCAAGAGATCAATTAGCAGCAAGCCAGCAGGTATGTCTTGACCAGCTTTTGCTCAGAGAAGAAGATGAAAAAAGCAAAGACCACAAACACAGCCAATGAGGCTCTATTTAGCAGGCTACAGTAAGTTTCCGCACTGAGAAACTAGTGTAGATAATTATAGGGTAATTTAATCTGTTTAAGCTGCTAATTTTCAAGCTTCCTGCTGTGCGAGAACTGCTAGTAATAAATAAACTTGGTCACTTAAGAGCGCCATCCATATGCACATGCTTTACTAAAATGGTATCAAGTCTTTGCCATAAATGGATTGCAATATAGCAGGATCACACAGATGATGGAGTAGTTAGTGGTAGGGACAGGTGGTATTTGTGACTATGGCATTTAGAAGTAATTAGGCTGAGCAGCACAAAAAGGCTAAGTGTTTCTGTTGTCACAGTTATTTTTTAATCTGCATAGCCCATTAAACAAAAGAGAAGTTTTGTCAATCTTCAAGGTAGACATGACCTGGAGACGGACTCGTGCTACAGCTGGATCCCTTCCAGGGTACACTTTTTAATCTCCTTGATTAAAAGAAAACTTTTTTTCCCTGAGATGAAAATGATATTCACTTCCAAGCTGAATTTGGAAAAACTCAAAGCTTGGGTCAAGCCATCAAATACTGGTTTATGCCTGTGATGTCATCATAGTTTCCAAGCTTCATCCAAAGCAGTGGTTCTCAACCTGTGGGTCGGGACCCCATTTGGGGTCAAACGACCATTTCACGGGGTCACCAAACAAGGCTGTCTGCCATTTTTTCCCCCTTTTCTTTGGCCACGCCCCTGGCACCCGGTGATGTATAAGTGGTTGGGGGTCACCACAACATGGGGAACTGTATTATGGGGTTGCGGCATTAGAAAGGTTGAGAACCACTGATCCAAAGAATCACAGGTTACAACACAACATTTCCATTCTCCTTCCAAGTTCTGAGCTGAGCTTAGCACCCAAAGCCTTAGTTCCTTTGGTATATGCTTTGTATTAATACTTTTAAACAAGGTAAAAATGAACAACTAAAATATAAAGAAGACGGAAGAAAAAGAAATCAAAGAAAAAGCGAACAGTGCAAGAAAAATAGTTGAAAAAAAGAAAAAAAGATATAGTTTCTGATATTCTTCAACAACCGTTTTAAGTAGAAATATCTCTTAACCTCTCTAAGTTACATCATTTTGCCCGATCCTTCTATAATTTATCCTATCTAATCATCAAAACCATAAATCACAAATTAATTGTTTTTATATTTATGCAAAATATCCATAAGAGCCTTCCAGTCACCAATAAATTGTAGGAGGAGAGCAGGCAGAATTGGGGAACGGAGTTAAACAAGTCATAAGCCCTTACATTGCCACAATGGTCCAAGCCCTCTTGAATTCTTTTGATCCTTATCTGGTGCCAATTTTATATCGAACTTTAGCTGACTAGATTATGTAGAGGCTTGAGCAATAAATCATCTGAAATGCCACTTAACCTTTTGCTCTGATTCTTTGCGCCTGACATAAATGTAGATAATGTCTTTTCTCTAACCAAAGAAGTTAATCTCTATTTCAGCAAAATCTGTTGCATATGTATAGCATCTTCTACCTCTAGTTCAAATGATGATTTCTGGTTTTTGTAAAATGAAGCTGAATATGGAAAACATTTAAGAAAGAAAGGCATCCAGGAGAGTCTATTTATGCTATGAAATCAATCTTCCTGCTACATGTGGAACTCAGACGGAAGAATCCTTGGAAAACATCTAGCCCACCTGTGTTTGAACACATTTAATGCTGTAAGTATGTCTCCTGCTCTGCTAAATTTCTAATTTTTACTTGATTTCTTAGAAGGCAGCAGACACTACCAGCATTAAAAAATAATAATGTGTTATTAACCATCAATCATCATGTATCTAAAAACAAATCTCAATTCTTTAAATGTTGACCTTCTATTCATGGTTTTCTGTTGTAAGTCAAAAAAATCTGTATTAATAGCTGCATCCGAAGTGAAGTATTTAAGTCGTCGTTTTAAAAGTCAGATTAAGAGATTCTTTGCCTTAATGGTCAATGACATCAGGAAACAGTAGCTGTTTTGCTACAGTGACTGGCAGGTAGAGATTATGCTTCGGCATAAGGAGTTGGGAAAACCTATTTCCTTATTGTATTAAATCGCTAGTTGCTTCCTAGTGCTTAGCTGACTGTATACTTCCATACACATAAAATAATATATGGATATTTTGATTTAACTAGAGTCTAAATCAGTATCAATGTTTGTCAATTATGAAGGATAATAAAATCATTTGAAAATCAGAAGATAATGCAAATTGGCAAAGAGACTGTGGCCATTTATCAAACATAATAAACATGGGCATAGTTATTATGAAACTCCAAATAAAAACTCGGTCTTTGATCAACTTTCTTAATACTAAGGGTAATCCTTGCATCTCAAAAAATAGATTGTTTTCCTTAATTTATCTGCTTAGGATGCCCTCTGTGCTGTACAAAATTCTAGGAAATGTTGCTTGACCCATGTTCAAGTAATAGAAGAATGAAAGGCCAACTAATTCTCTGTGAATTGGAAATATATTTTAAT